TATATATAATAATGTAAAATAAAAACTAATTACAACATTAAGCATTTCTTAAATATACTGTGCGCTGTGTTAATTATTGATGCAAAATTAAATTGAAATTTATTAGCAGTATTGATCACATAAGCCCGGATCTATAAAAGGTTTTTAAGCCTTAAACCATAAGAAATGGACAAATCATAGTCAATTATTTTCTTCGCATTCGATTGTATGTAATTAATCAATTTCTTACGGCTTAAGGCTTAAAACACTTGTTGTAAATCAGGACTTAAGGCCGTAAAACATTAACATTCGTTTTCATTACAGTTTTTTCGGAATACGTAGTCAATTTATAAAATTTTTAAGAACTTGTTCAAAACGGTTCTTAATTTCTGCTGTCGCCTATCTCTTATTTTATGTCAGGCACAAATATTCTAATATCTTTATTCGGCAAGACATATTATGGATTTTCGACAATAAATCGTTATCTAAGCTTTAACAATAAGTTTTAAGCGTAAGAAATAGACCAATCATGATTAAATGTGAGAAAAATAATCAACTGTGATTTATCAATTTCTTACAGCTTAAGGAGATCCTAAACCAACAGGAATTATCGATAATTGCAGATTGCCAATTTCTCCGAATTGGTTTTATAGATCACCAAATCTTTTTCCCAATAAAAGTACAAAAAAATATTGGCCACGCTAAATTTGACGAGAAAATCGAGGAAAAAATTAAAAGTTCACTTTATTTCAGCTCTCATAACTATTATCTCAGGTTATAATTCCCTTAGTGCAGAAATTCTGTAGGTCGTACGTACCAAATGATACCTTCCCCGGAAGCGTATGACATGCACAAACAATCCTGAGTTTGTGAAATTATGATCGAAGACCTAACAAAAAAGATTTTCCAAAATTAAAGTCGTATTTTTTGTGTAACCATTACTTTTTTCCTCTTTTACAGATTTAAAAATCTTTTTCCACAATTAAAGTATACACATTAATACGTGTCTGTGAAGTGGAATTTATTTCGACGAAAAGAACGACAAAAAATTTCGAAATTAAAATTTTAAGAAAAATTTTTTTTTGTCGTCTCGGCATAAACTCCACCTCACAGACACATATTAATGCGTATACTAGAAAAAGATTTTTTCGAATCTGTAAAAAAGGAAAAAAGTAATTGTTAAACAAAAATTATGATTAGTTGGTAATAGAAATGGCTTTAGGATCCTCTTAAGACTTGAACTTAGGTAATGGCTTATTTTGGAAAGCTCATTAAACAGTTTAAGTATTTTGCAAGGCATTTTTCACATAGACTATTTGTATATGTGTGTCGATTAAATTTTATGTGTATGTATGCATTTATTATAACATATAAATAAATGTAGTCCAACTAGACGATTAATTCTCCAAATTATTTCATCTCATATATGACGGAATACATCGCAACTCAAAGAGTCAAAGAGATCCTTTCTTAAGATGGATGGCTCGATCAAACGGCGATTGCGAAGCCACGGAAAACATAACGCGCTATCTGTGCATAGAACTGGAACAGACACAGAACGGCAACCTTCATCTGCGGGGGATAAACGAAGAGAGAGAGAGAGAGAGAGAGAGAGAGAGAGAGAGAGAGACGCAATAAAGCTAGACGAATGAGACAAGAGCGAGACGAAGCGAGAAGAGCGGGTGGATTGCCGAAAGGAACACAGTGTGTCCGCCGACGCCCGTCGACGCTCGGCGTCGCTCGTGCGGTTCCGTCGCAGCGAGGCGGGGTTTAGGCGGGGTCGATACGAGGCGCCTTCTCTTTCCTGTCTTTCCGTACGGTGTTATTCTCAATCGCATGGGTATTCCAACATCACGGCGACTATCATCCGCTATTATATGCAATTGTCTCTATATGCTCTCTCTCATTCTTTTGTTAGCCTTCTTTTTCTTTCAATAATCATCAATCGTACCGTACTGACCGTATTACAAGTCGATCGGAGTAGTTACAGATTACAGAGCAACATTACATCGCGGCGCGTCGGTTTGCGCGAAAGTCGCGTGCGGTGCGGAGAAAGGGGAAACAGAGGGAATTGACGGGATGGGAAACCCGAGAGGGGAAATGGAGTCTCTCTCTCTCTCTCTGTCTCTCTCGCGCGCGCGCGCGCCCTTCGGTTCAGCTCGTGCCGGTCGATCAGCGGTGCGGGTGACTAGAGGACGAGGACAGCGAACCGAGTAGCAACAAGGAACGCGCAGCGCGGTCGGAGCACCGACAGGCGACACGGTGATCGGAGCAAAACGAAAACGCGCGTCGATCGGTGACAGTCAACACGACACGACACGACACGACACGACGAGACGCGACGAGACGCGACGCGACGCGACGCGGCGCGGCGCGACGACGGCTGGTGCGCGACACGCATGCATATGATTGTTGCGTCATTAGCCATGACGAGCAACGCGGGGACGTGATGTTACGTGGCCGCTATCACCGTGCGTTGCTTATCTATCCAGAGTCGCGAAAGATTCGACGACTCGCGCTTGCATACGTCACGTACGAAAAGGAGAATCAACGCTGGGAGCAACGACTACGAGCGACGAGCTCTATCGGACGCCTCGGTGCCGTGGCCGGGGCCGGGGCCGGGGCCGGGGCCGGGGCCGAGGCGCCGTTGCACGCCGACGGACGGAGCAGCGTTGCCACTTCCTCGCCGCGGCCGCGGTCGCGGCCACCGCCACCGCCGTTGCACCGTCGTTGCCACGTCCGCCGCCGTTACGTTCCACCGCTGGGAACGACGACGACGACGACGACGACGATCACTTCTGCCACGCTGCTGGTAAGCTGCTACTGCTCCTGCTCTTGCTTTATATGTATTTTCTTTTTCTCTTTCTTTCTCTCCCTTCTATCCTCCCTCCCTCCCTTTCTCTCTCTCTCTTCCTCTCTCTCTCTCTCTCTCTCTCTCTCTCTCTCTCTCTCTCTCTCTCTCTCTCTCTTCCTCTTTCTACAGAACGATGCGTGCATGAATCGGAGTGACACGCCGCGGCCGCGCGGTTCCAATTCGGTATATGCGACACGCAGTACTATGGTGTGTATATTTGTGTGGTGGTGGTGCTGTAACGCGCTGCTCGGTAATGGTAGTAGGGAGCCATGGTAATCTATGGCCCGAATAAAAGACATGATTTCTCACCTGACAAGACACGCTCGCGACCTCAGACGTTTAGATCTTAACGAGTGATAAAAATGCTTTCAATATACACGTGATTGTATGCGTCGATCGGAGTCGCGATATCTCTTGGATTAAGAAAATAGTATGAAAAATAATATAGGTAACGTGGATATATCTCCCATGATTATTGCGTTATTAATTTACTTACGTTGCAAGGATATGACGAAATAAAACGTTGGAAATGGAAAAGATTCACATGCATTGCTTACTTGATATTTCCTCTATTTAAATGTATTGTATTAAAATTGAAAAATTTATTTTAATTTAATGAAATTTCACGTAAACATGAAATTATTAGATGATCATTTAATATCAGCAATATACTTTTTACATTTTTGTCCGACTCTTTTATTCGATATTCGCGTTTGAAGTTTTGATGAACTGATTTTTCAGAATATTCAATGGCAATTTTATTTTTTAATCGCATTGTCATTTTGTATTTTGCGCTTTCATGTAGTAGCTAAATAAATATATTACGATATGTGTTAAAATATACATAATCATAAACGCGCACAGATTGAATCCATTTTATTTTCATTTTAGGTTAATTTTAATTTAAAAAAATAAAATCGGTACATTAACGCTGCAATTTGGCAAAGATGAAAATAGTATCTCTTATACATAAAGTATTAACCAATCCACTTCACTACAGTACATTTAGTTATAATTTATCGGCATATTTGGCACAAATCTATTTTACCAAACGTGAAACACGAACAATTTATTCGTTATTGCAAGAGAGATTATTCATTTCCTCATATTTTCTCGTTGACGTCAATATCTAGATGTACATATATCGAAACAGAAATTTTAAATATAGATATATTATGAATAAGTATATTATGTATACTTTTATCACCTATTTATTTTTCATATCGATCGCCACTGTGTGTATCTCTAAAGTCTAGACATATTAATTCAAAAATCTCGAATACACTGAGAATTTTATTCATAACTTTAAAAGTCCTTTCACATTATGATTTTGAATGCAATCATATGTTTACGATTTCTTTTAAAAAATTAACGTTTTTAGGGATGCGCCAGATCGTAAAATTATCGAATATTGGATATCGGATATCAGCTTTTTTTTAGACGTCCCGGAATCCGGCCGGGTATCCGGAAAATACCTGATATTCAACTCGAAAAATTGCCTTCTCGGATGTCGGATATCAGATATTTTCCGGATATCGAGCCGGATTTCGGGACAATGTCTAAAAAAAAGCTAATAAAAGATTAAGCTAATAAAAAAGAGTAATAAAAGGAAAAGGAATTGTAAGGGAAAAATATTGATAATAATTAATGATTTTAATGTTATCGTCCGAGTTTGATTATCAATAGAGATGATAACTGTAGAGAAAAAGATTGTAATTTTACAGCAATATATAAGATCTTATAGCATTATTAGGTTAACATGCCGAATAGGAGAAACAGCTCCGAAGACTTTGACATATGTTGTCAAGGTGATGACCCTGAGTAACTTCCATCAAGTTTTAGCCGTCATTCATTAAAATTATTAATAAAAGAAATTTGAAAAATGATGTCCCTTTCTACTATATAAAACAGAAATTTTCCGCTTTAAAGTATATTTTACAACTTTCGACGCAAAGCGACTCTCACCTCACCTGCCCCCCTGTTTAGGGGCGCATGACTTTCACGCGAAGCGACTTTTAGTCCATCATCCCCCTTCTAGAGTTATATAAGAAATTATGTAAGAAAATATTTTGCGTTGTTAAAGAAGGGAATTTGTTTCATTGGAGCACAGTTGTGTCCAAAAGTTAAGTTTTATTGATAAACTTTTTTTGTTAATAACTATTTAACGAATAACGAGCGACGGCTAAAACTTGGTCAAGGTCACTTAGAGTCATGACTTCGACAACATATGTCAAAGTCAAGGTCATCGGAGCTGTCTCCCCTATTCGGCATGTGTTTACCCATTATTAGTATGCACACTTATTTATAGAACATTTATATATATAATAAAAAATCAACAATTTCATGATGTATTATTCAAATATTTATTATGTTAACAATCATAAATTTATATAAATTCGATAATATCAGCGTGCTTCAATTACTTTCAAGACCCTCGGAGCTCTTTTTATGGACAAAAATTTGACCAGAATTGACCGGTCTTTAATATCTCATCGGTGGCATGATGTGTCATTTTGTCCTTCTTTAATATTCGATGAACAACGACAAATGATACATGTGCTTCATGTGTAATTCGGAACACGCTCTATCCTATTCGTTTATGTCTAATGAATGATAAAAATAGAATGACACGCTGATACTGTTGATATCGCTTCTCGAATACAGTTCAACTAAGACTGTAAATATTTGGATAATATATCACTAAATTGTTAATTTTTTTATTATATATATAAATGTATAATAAAAAAAAGATACTTTTTTTTCCTCAAAAAGAAAGATATTTCTTTTTTTTTTTTTCAAACAGAAAGAACTTCTTGCACAATTTATCTTTTCTTTTTATTTTTCTAATGTAAAAAGAAAAAGATGAAAGACGAACTGTGTACGAAGTTCAGCTGAAAAAAATGGAAGTCTGCATCAGTGATGCAAATTTTCAATATAAAATTTCAACCGGATATATTCCTGTATACTAATGATATCCGACCATCCGGTCGGATAATAAAAAAGTGCCGGATAATACCGGACATCAGATACTTTCCCGATATCTGATGTATTTCTAGTTTTTAATAATCTAGAATACACATATATCCGATCATTTATAATCGACACAAAACATCAAAACAAAAAATATTTAAATGTAAAATATTTAAATGTAAAATATTAGAATAAATATTAATATAGTAATTGTTATGTTATACACATGTGTATATATCGTATTGTAATATCATCCCTTCTGTAATAAAAAGCAGCTAGACAAAAATAATATCATTGATATTGATATTAAAGGATATTTTGTTAATTTGCCTTGTTGCATACAATTCAATAATTGTGCGAAATATTTAGTATTTATTTTTTTTATTTATATATGTCACTTAATTTTCAGACATTGTCACAGATGCACAATATTCAATCAATATATGAAAAATAGTTTTATAAATAAGAACAATATAATCTATATTAATTATTAACTTTCATATATTATACATATAACTAAATATTACCTATATCTATCTGTCATTTTGAAACTTGTAGTACTTATAATATTTATGTATCGCATACTAATCAAAACAGTTAGGAAATGATTTCAATGGGTCTTTTACATCTTCAACTTGGATCAGCATTCACAAAAAAGTGAGAATTTCTTCATCGGATATCCTTTCTCGTTTCTTCGATCAGCCAAAAAATAGAATGCGCATTATTCGAGCAAATCGTTTCTTTCGCGATAGGTATAAAGACTGAAGTCTTGAAGATCGATCCGAATTCGTCTGACCTCGCAAATTTGTTTATTCGGCGCGAGCGATGACACGTGACTCGATTTCTGACGAGTCATGGCATATGAGGAACGTTTTCTAGACTTGGTACCCGTATCTTCTCTCTCTCTCTCTCTCTCTCTCTCTCTCACTCATTCTTTCTTATGGATAGAGAAGGAGAAGGAGAGGTAGGAGAGAGAGAGAGAGAGAGAGAGAGAGAGAGAGAGAGAGAGAGAGAGAGAGATATGCTCATCCCTTCCCTTGCGTGTCTAGCCTTGGCGGATCATTCACAGACTGGAATCGCTTTCGCACAGATTCATACGTCCAACATTATACCAACAGGGCACAGATAATATATATGGTGGTGGTAGTGATCAACTTTCGTTTTCGAAAGTTCATTAACCCATCGCAACACGTTATGCCATCACAGTAGCCAATCGGCGTAGCATCTTACTATTTCACCGAAATTATTTTTCAGAACTGCGTTTCACAAACTCTTGCACAAAAGGCGCACAACGGGAACTAATTGTTACATTTAGCGACGCTTACATTCGAGTAGTCAGAGTCTCATAAGTAAACATATTAAGAAATAAAAAACGAATCAAGAAACGATAAAAATAAATTTTTAATAACTGTTGTTGCTGAAGATAATTATGCACATTTAAGATAATTATATATATAGATGTGTTTTTTGAAATTGATATGCGTAAACAGGTATTAGACACAATTACGCCACTGTTATTTGCTTACAATTAATAATTTCTTTATCGTTTTGTGATCTAATATAATTTTAATGATGATGTATGAGGAATTGCAAATAGGATATTTATTATCTTTTGTTCATAATCTTAACTTTACACATAGAATATGATTATAATGTAGAGGAAAATCGCTGATACTAACATAGGTCTCCTAAAGTGACACCCCCTTATTTCTCAGAAATTAACTATTGCACTTTATTAATGTTGCATTATTAATATTGAATTTATTTATTAATAAAAACATGATTTGTGTAATTAATTAAAAAAGTGTAAACGCATAATTTATATATTTGTGGCTTATTTTTATACGAAATCAGTTAAAAACGAATTCCACGAATGCGAAAATAAAATTCTTACGATTTTTGTTTACAAATTGCATAATTAAAATAATAGTGATATATTACTATATTATTATTATTAATACTATATATTATTATATTAATAATATTACATCGTTTTAAATGCTTGTAGTTTTCTAAATCAGTTTTATATATATTATTTTCTTTCTTAGTTTTTTCAGAATACGATTTTAAATATAAAATTAAATATAAAGGGATGCAGCGTAAACCGACATACCTGACTGTAAAACAAATCATGAGCTAATTTAATCTTTGTAATGTTGCATTATAGTGTCAAATAACTCTATCAGAGCTGAATGCAATGGCATATATAATAAAATCCTTGAAAAACTATCGCGTTATTTGCATCTTGCAGAACAGCATAAAGTAAATATGTATACAATTCAACAAAAATGTTTTATATTGAAGTGAAAAGATTCTGGAAAATCTTACACATTGACTTGTAAGTATTTTATTCAGATAATTTCTATAAAAGAAAAAAGAATAGGAATATGTGGCATTACTGTCCGCTGTGTCAGTTTTGGAGCCCATTTTGTCAGATGCAATTATTTTTATTAATTGCATCAATTAATTAGTAGTGACGATTAATTAATATTTATTATATATTCATACATTTAAAAGTGAGTTTTTGTTATTTTTTATTGTTTTTTTTTTTTCGTTTAGTCCCGGCAATTTTATGTATGGGAGTGTTAAAACTAGTGTCACTTTTGCTTTAGTAGATAAGAAAAGAAGAAAAGTAAGCGTGAGTTGACCAATCGCAATCGTTGGTCATTCTTGAAAATGGTAGGTTACGTTAAGAAGAGTACTCGAATGTGATCACTGTCTTCTAGTTTGCATTCTTTTATACGGCATATGGGGCCTTTAGCTATTCTTGTCATTGATGTCGAGTATCAGGCCGCACAAATGAAACAGTCGCACGAACGAAATTCGTATACAGCGACATACACTTACATCTGAATACCGCTGAGTCGTCAAGATTGGCGTGTTTACCGGCTTGAAGTATTACATTGGTTCTTCGATGAGCGCGCGCGCGCACGCGCGAGAGAAAGAGAAAGAGAGCGGGGGAGGCGGGGGGGCGGAGAAGGGAGACAGAGTAGAAAAACCATCCCCTTTAAGAGATAGACCTTAAAGTCTCGACCTACGTCGGCATGTTTCCCCTGATGTCTCTCGCGAGGGACATTTGTCCACGCACGTCTTACTCAGCACGCACGTCGGCATCGTGCACCGATGCACATGAAAATCGCGTGCCGTTCATCGCGTCAGCGTACTTGTGGCGCTGCAATGGGAATGCATACACGTAGCGAATACACGTTGCTGCTCGCGTTGCTAGGTAGTGTTGTGTGTATTTCCACAGGTGCATCAACAGTGAGTTGCACTACTGATTATTGCGCATCTTATCACCGACGTTCATCGTGATAACGTCATGGTGATTCTTAAGCTGTCACATAAACTGCACTAATTTGTTCTGAAATAAAAAATCCTAATTCGGGTTTCATAATCTACTTTGTTTTAAAGAATCTAATTTATATACATATATATTTCATTTTTGTTCTGTTTCGTTAAAAAACAAATCGTTAAAAATTTATATACATATTGCGAAACCATATCAAAAACGTAGAACTTGGAAAACAAATGTAAGATAGTCTCATGTATTAGTATTAGTTTTAATTATTTATCGGAACTAATTTATGTTTATAGAAAATTGTTTAAAATTAATTTCCATTGCGAATATATTAATTCCATAAATATATTAAATATGATAATAAATAAGATTAAGAGGACCCAAGATGGTTTTTTTTACAACAGAATTAAAGATTAAAAAAGAAAAGTTAATAATTATCGAGCATGTGTCAATAATAAGTCGTAACTGTATCGGCAGCTGTATTGTTCACTATATAGATTATTGATTAATAATCGATTGGCACAGCTGTTTCAGCACAGATTAACAACATGGAGGCAAAGGAGAGGGAAAAGCCGTTGGTCAAAGATTTGAACGAACATATCGTGTGCCCCCTGTGCAGAGGATATCTCATAGACGCTACGACTCTTGTGGAATGTCTGCACTCCTGTTAGTATTTTGCTCAATATAATTATTGCTTGTCGTTAATCATCGAGCGATCACGTTGTAAAAAAAAGTAATATATAATAATTGATTAAAGACATGATATTTGTATAAGAGAGAAACAAATGTAATACAAAAAGAATTTTTCTTCGGAATTATTATATTTAGAATATTTTTAAGCCTCTTTCTCAATATGTTTTTCTTAAGGCTTCTGAGATAAAAGGCATGTAATAAAAATTAACGTGTCACTTCTCGTTTCTGACGTCACACTTTAATATGGCTGTGGTGAGTACTCAGGAGTATTAAGGGGATGCTAAACCGATTACCGAATTTGATCGAGGTCGATAGTACAAACTTTTTAAATTTTAAATTCGATAATAGTGGTGACATCTTTGATTAATTTCTTACATTATATTATATAATATACATATATCATTCTATCTTACTTAAACGCATACATCTATCCTTATCTAACATATGCCAGCACTATCTATCGCAAGATAGATTCAAGATTTCACTCGGTGAAAATACTTTTTTTCTATAACTTCAGTCTTAGTTCTACAAACTCGGTATCGTTCGTTCCAGTAATGTGATCTCAGCTACACGCTTATTTTTAAGATATGAACTCTAAAACTCTTGTATCAAGCAAATATATACTTGAGGTGACAGCTGTACCAGCCAAAAGTAAATGAATTTTTTTAACTTTTTTTTTATTTTCTCATGAAATTCAGTGCAACTGAGGTCTTGTTTGTGCATACTTTAACGTAATAACACTTTTGCAATCCGTAAATCGAATTCGGAGATTTTTCACCGAGTAGAAATGATGGTTTAACAGATGGCTTTAACATCCTCTTAAACAGCAGGTCATATTTTGTAACTAGCAATTGATACCATGCGATAGTTATTTTCTGTATTCATCCTTGCCCCTGCATTTATACACGAATCATGTTTTTAATAACATTTTTTCAAATCTGGAAAAGTTAGCATATTCTTTTTCAATCATTATCACTTTATCAATTATTATTATTATTAAATAACGCGATGTAAAGTCAGTTTCAAATCAGTCATATTAGGTATCTCAATTTTGATACGCCGTGGTCATTCTTTCTCACGCTCATTGCGGACGCGGATCATCAGTTTGCAGAGGTTGTATCGTTCGACGTCTGAGTAGTGGCGCCCGCGCGTGCCCCGTGTGTAGCGTCGCGACGTCACCACCTCTCTTGCCGGATACGCTGCTCCAACGGCTGGTGTACCTTGCGGTGCCTGGTCTCTTCCGGTCGGAGCTTGAACGTAGATGCCATTTCCGTCTGGTGAATCCGCAATGTCCGCCGTTGGCACCGCCCGTGGGTGCTCTCGAACTTACTCTGGATGATCTCGTCAGTCTGAGTTTGCAAGAGCTAGAGGACACGGAAGATGAAATGCCGAAGAAAGAACGCGGCTCGTCGAAGAAGGATGTGTCGATGGAGAACAAAAGTAGAAGCGGAAGCACGAGGTATCTCAAGTGCCCAGCTGCCGTGACAGTACGTCATCTGGTGAGACTGCTAGTGCTGAAAAGAGGTTGGGAAGAGGCTAACGCGACCGTCAACGGTGTCATTAATAGGATAAAGATTTTATACCAGAAACATGAGACGCAGCACCCCGACGAGTTAAATATGTATCCGCTGGATCCCTCTTGGACACTTCTAGATCTTGCTTGCATATTTCAATGGAAGAGGGTAAGTTTACACACATATCTATATATTGACTTAATATACCGCGCGACTGTTTTCGTTGTTGGCGTTCGTTTTCATATAGATATCAGAATGATATCGAATAATAATGTAATATTACAAATCAAATCTACATTAAACTTTCAATATTCGAGTTGATTTGACCTAAATTTTCCTCCTGTTTCTATAATATATTTTTCTGTGTGTTTTTTATAAAAATGAGATAAAAGAGACTCACGCACGCACGCACGCATTACGTACGTGATTTTTTATTCAATATTTTTAGAATGTAAGGATGTATGGGTGATATTTCAACATAATAACAAAATTATAAAAAAATTAAGGATATTCTAAATCACATTTAAAAATAATACAACAAATTTGATGACGATTTACTATCTGAATCATAAGTTATATATATATATATA